TACGACTGCTGTTAGAAATAGTCATACGTTTGGCTTAACTATCGGAGGATTCGCTCAAATCAATAAATCAACACTTATTTCGGTTTACATATAATTATTTTTAAAAATATTAATTTATATTATAATGTAATTATTTTTTATTTGTTATACAGATATTTACATTTATATTGAATTATACGGTTATTCTATTACAAACATCAAAATAATAGTTACAATATATTAATATTAAATTATTTGAACCACAATATAAATAACAGTTTTTTTTCTTCTACTATAATTATGTGCTTTAATTAATAAACATTGTATTTCATTTAATTAACTAATTTATTATAACTAATTTCATAATTATAACGCACAATGAATTAACCAAAACAATAAACTGAAAATTTAAACTATCACAATAATCTATATCTATACATAATATAAAATACTCAACCCAAAGGGAAAATAGAAAACAGCGTTACATACAATAGGGGTGGGAGGGCAGTGAAATTATATAGGGGGATAGAATGGGAATGGGTAACAGATTTAATGGCTCGTGGCTAGTTTATTAATAAATTACAGCACGTGATATATTCAAATAAAAATTTAATTATCATAATTTATAATAATTATACAATTTATAATAATTATACAGTTTACAAAAGAATGATCAAGCTTACTTATTGAAATCTTCATTGGTTAATATAGGTGGAAAACAGGTACACGGTAATTTTATTAAATTAGCAAAGATTGTGTTAAATGTTTTATTTAGTATATAAATACTTATATGTGGTATTTCTCAGCTATTTTTATAAAATAAATCTTGCAGGTATCATTTATAGCAAATTTCTATGCATTAAAAGAACCTAGGTGGAAAACAGGTACACGGTAATTTTATAAAATTAGCAAAGATTAGGTTAAATATTTTATTAAGCATATAAATACTTATATGTGGTATTTCTCAGCTATTTTTATAAAATAAATCTTGCAGGTATCATTTATAGCAAATTACTATGCATTAAAAGAACCCAGGTGGAAAACAGGTACACGGTAATTTTTATAAAATTAGCAAAGATTAGGTTAAATATTTTATTAAGCATATAAATACTTATATGTGGTATTTCTCAGCTATTTTTATAAAATAAATCTTGCAGGTACCATTTATAGCAAATTACTATGCATTAAAAGAACCCAGGTGGAAAACAGGTACACGGTAATTTTATTAAATTAGCAAAGATTAGGTTAAATATTTTATTAAGCATATAAATATTTATATGTGGTATTTCTCAGCTATTTTTATAAAATAAATCTTGCAGGTACCATTTATGACAAATTAATATGAGTTAAAATGGCTTGGGTAGAAAACAAGTACACGGTAATTTTATTAAATTTGCAAATATCGAATTAAATATTTTATTTAGCTTATAAATAATTATATGCGGTAATTTTTATTTTATAGTTTATAAATATAAATATAGTTAATAAAATCAGACCTTGTCTCTACTATAATTAACAACTGGATAATAATTTAGTCGCGCAATCATTTAGTTGAGCACTGCCGCCCTCTCTCATACATTACTTTTCACGTGTCATTCGTACAGTTACTACAGAGTGTTCAACTAAATGATTGCGCGCTTAATTGATTATGTTGTAAATAAAACATTTTATTTCATCAAAACTATTATTTAACTATTAAAACTCCTTTTATAATTATACCGCACAATGTATTAATCAAAATAATAAACAGAATTTAAAATTTCATGATAATTTATTTATAAATTACAACAAGTGTTATATTAAAATAAAGACTACACCACCACAGTTTATAATAATTATAAAGTTTACAAAAAAATGATCATGTTTATTCTTTGACATCTCCATGGGTTACTGTGCACAACAGGTCTCCGGCATCGCCAATGAGTTTAGTGGTAACGTCGACATCGCTCACTACCGGCGCCTCTTTAGGTATAGTAAACTTAAACACCACTTGTTTAGTATCGCCGCTATTAATGGGACAGCTAGTGCTATGGCAAGCATCTAGGTCAGAACCGGGCAATAGTGCAGTCAGGTCAGTGTCTACGCCACCAATTTTAGCGTGCAAGTACCATTTAGCGTGAGATGTTTTTTGATCTAGAGTTAAAAATAAATTTTACATTAACATTGTTGTATTTTATGCAATTAAAAAATTAAAAAGGTAAAAACTATTTATAAATAAATACATACTGGCTTTAAAATCAATGGTAACGCTTATGTTGGTGTTTTTATGTAAAACACATGGTCCGCTACCGGTGCATCCAGTAACATCCAATTTTGTAACCTCGGCGTGACCTGGGTATATTAATTATAACAATTAACACCTCGACAGACTAGACTTTGATGATTTATTAATAATGAATACATACCGCAGTCTTTGAACGAGATCGCAGACACACTTACGGCCAATACTAATAAGCAAACAATTCTCAACATGTTCAAATTTAGTTGTTTATAATACTGTAATATTAAAACTATTGTTTTATACACTATGTAGTTTAGTAATGAATATATTAAGTTGATTGCAACGCTATTTATACAATTTTACTTTACATCGTTTGAACTACATTTAATGAATCGCATTATTGAAATAATATTATTTGATTTTATCAAGATAAAACATTCATATATTGACTAACCATGTTTTGATGAACACAGATTAACTAATCTACCTTGAAAGATGTTTCCGTATAATATAGGTTTTTGCACTAATTATTACAAGATTAATTGAATTGTAATATATTGCCAAATATAATGATTGTTTATCATAATTTGCTCTAATTTAAAATGCACCAGAGTGCAATTTATTTTGTTATTATTTATCGTATTTGCAAATGTTACAATTTAAATCTTTATAACATTATATTGAATTATATTGATTATTTTCGACCTGAGATAAAATATTTAATCGTAAAATGCTCTTTTTAAAAAGAGCATTATGGTGCAATAATTAATCGATATATTAGCTATCACAATGATTAAGAATATTTTATTGTGTCACCAACTTTCATTTTTAGTTCAATGCTAAATAAACATTGTTTTAAGATAACAGATATTATTTGTTTTATTTCCAACTTGTTTATCAATTTAGGATTTAATAAGATTATATATCAAATAATTAAGTGGTAATATAACTTGTATTTAGTGCCAGTTTAGTGTATCCTAAATTGTTATACATTATAATAGTTATTAATGCGTTTATTATTGATTTATTTGTGCTAAACAATAAAAATGTTTCTGCAATTTACCTTAAGGTCAATTTTTATAATTTTAAATGTAAACATAATTAAAGCTAAATGTATGGATGTAAATACAACATCAGGTGTAGTGCGGGGTCTGAAATTACAGGTGCTCAACAAAACTGTTAACCAGTTTTTGAATATACCATTTGCTGAGCCACCGGTCGGTAGTCTACGGTTCGCACCGCCCGTACCTCTCAAACAACCCTTAAAAGTAAATAATTAAATACTAATTACTTGAAATGATAATTATCTATTTTAATACCAAAATAATACTTTATAACGTAATATTTAATTAATTTGATCTAGGATGTAATTGATGCCACAAAACAGGGTAATTCTTGTTTACAGCCAAATCCGACAACAACTCCACAAAGTGAAGACTGTTTGGTATTAAACATATGGACACCAAATGCGGGCAATAATAACACAAACAAATCACAGCTCAAACCCATTATGTTTTACATTTATGGCGGGGCTTTAGTAAATGGTACCATTTTTCTACTACCTGGATACAATGGATCAATTTTGGCCACACATGATGTGTTGGTTGTGTCCACAAACTATAGGTTAGGACAGTTTGGGTTCCTATACGGGGATCGGGAGGACGCGCCCGGAAATGTCGGCTTTTATGACCAGTTATTGGGCCTGAAATGGGTATCAAATGATCGCTTATTTTAATTATAATATTTATTTATTAATATAATAATATATAAATTAATGACATAATATTAATAATAGGTAAGAGAAAATGTCCATAAATTTGGAGGAGATAGGGATCAGATCACTATATTTGGTGAGAGCGCCGGCAGTGTTTCCGTATCGGCACAAATCATATCTCCGTTATCTAAAGGCCTATTCAAGAGGGCTATTATGGAGAGCGGCGCCCATATGTATAACAAGGACAGGGATGCTATCAGCAAACCTGAGGCCATAGCCAATGGCAAACATATAGCAAAACAATTGAAATGCAATGAAACCGAGGATTGGATGCAATGTCTGCGAAGAGCGGACGCCAGAGATATACTCAAATTTACGCCAACTATTGCTTTCCCAGTCGAGGGCACAGAGTTTCTGCCCATATCTGCCCAAAAGGCACTAAAAACCAAACAATTGAACACAGGTTTGAATACAATTAATTTTAATTTAAACTATATTTCATTATTTAAATATTTGTTTACCCATATAGACATTGACCTAATGGCAGGCCTGACCCGAGATGAGGGCGCACTACTGACCCAATATGTATTAAATCACTCACACATTGAATCGGTGGCCGACTTCAGGGCATACCTGAGCGAAACGGACCAAATATATCACAGCATAAACACGACAAAAGTGACCGACTTTTACCTTCACGGCGTTAACATTAGTAACCCATTGGCGATAAAACAGGCATTTAATAGATTTTTTGGCGATTTAATGATGAATTGTCCGACATATCTGTTTTCCGAGCATTTTGCGCAAATATCGCCACAAAATGACCGAAATGTTTATTTCTATCGATGGGATTATCAAAGCGATTGGTTCGCCAAACGAATGAACTGCGATCCGGTGACCATGGGCATTTGTCACGGCGCCGATGTACCCTTTGTTTGGGGCCTGGACTACCAGGCACCCATGAATGTTAGCATGGTAGAAAAACAATTTACGGATGATGTTATGCGTATGTGGACTAACTTTGCTAAAACAGGGTAAATACAGTATTTCGATGAAATGTTTTTTTGTCAAAATGATTAATTTTAAATTATTTGCACATTATTTCAATTGATTTTTATAGCATTCCGGACCCAAACTGGCCTCACATGTGGTCTCAAAACGTGGTAAATGTGCACGAATTAAATGCAAAAGTCAATACAAGTACAGTATTGGGTAATCCATTTCAAAATAGTTGTGATGTCTTTTGGAAAGATTATTATTTTTAATAATAAATTGCAAATGTAATAATTATAAAATCTTGTTAAAATAAATAATTAATTTGCAACCAGTTCCCAGGCTTTAGATGTTTTGCAACCTTTTAGTTTAGAAGGTAGTAAGTATTATAACTTACATTGAAATAACGAATTTATTACATTTAACAATTATTTCATTTTGTTCAAACAATTTTATTTAAATTACTGATGAACTTTATAATAATAAGCTTTATTGTAATTAAATCAAAAACAATAAATCTAAACATTTTGATCATGTAATCAATTAATCGCGAACAGACAGATACGTGCCTGTGCAGTACAGGTCGCCACCCGAGCCAATCAATCTTGATTTAACATTAGCGTCGGTGTTGGGCATGGCTTTGGGTATGGTGAATTTGTAGGTTAGAGTTCGGACCTCGTCCTTTTTAATGGGGCACTTCAACAATTTGCACGCATCCTTGTCCAGTCCCATCATCGGTATCAGGTCCACGTCTTTGCCAGCAATATCAGCGTGCAGATAGTGCTCTAGTTTATCAGCATCCTGGTCTATTTTGTTAGTTGCAAATTGTTAATGGTTAATTGTTACATGTAAATATTAATCATGTTAATAAAATAAAATACATAGATTTTATAATTTATTGTAGTAAAACTTTTGAAAAAATAAACTATTATCTACACTATTATTTGTGATATTTTATTCTAGTTGATAAATTATTTCCAACAAGTTATAAATATCATGCATATAAATATAGCTTTACATAGGGTTAAATAAACTCAATATATAACTTATAGCAATTACAATAATGATTACTTACTGGCTTTAAACTCGACCGAGATGTTTGTCTGGACAGCTTTGTGAAGTGTACATGAGACACCCGGTGCGCAACCACTCACATACACACTGTGCACTTCGTGATGACCTGGCTCATTTAGTAAAAATAATAATTACACTTTATATTTATTAATAATTAACGTGCATTAAAGTTATATACCGCAATCATCGTATGGAATTTGGGCTGATACAAATGCCACATAAATGGTCAAGCACAATATTTTGTACATTTTATTGTTTGTAATACAATGTTCAATTGTAAATTAATATGGTTAGATATGAAATAAACTAAATGACTCTTAACAGGTAACATGGATATTATGTTTTATACCCAATTCAATGAAAATAAAAGTAAAGTGGTGAGATAAATTCTAGTTTATCTAGTTTACAGATATTTGACGTAGCTCATTTTCAAGTACCCTAGTGTATTAAGTAAACACTAATTATGTAAACCATTATAGTAATATATCATTTTAAAGAATATTAAATTTTGTAACTTTAAACAATCTTGCTAATTTGAAAATTATTTAATTTTCAACACAAACATGTAATTATTAATATTGTATTTTAAGTACAAGTGTATTGCTTGATATGAATTAAATGTTTGTACATAATAAATAACTTTGACTGTATCGATATGCATACTTAATCAATATAATCTGGATTCAATTAAAAATAATAGTTATTTACTGATATACTAAATGAAGGTTAAATTATTGAGCTAAAGATAATAAATTATTAATAATAAGTTATTTATTGTTTTTTGTAGTTTTAGCCTTAAAATAACAATAGAATAAACATGTTTAAAATAGTTTTATATTTAATTAATTATAATAATATAATTAATAAGGTAAATAAGTAATATTTCATTTATAGGGTTTATGTGTATATTTAAATATAGATATATGAAATGACATATGTCACTTTCTGATAAATGTAAAAACTAAATTTGTAAGAATAATATGATAAATTATTTTTGATAATTATTTTAATAAAATATAGATAAATACTAATAGAAATGTAATTAAAACTAAATAAAACTGTATACTCTATAAAAGTAAACTAGGATAGGAAATATAATAATTACAATAGGCACAATTTAACATTACAATAATTGCACTAATCTGCTCCAATTTAAAAGCCATAATTAGATTACAATAATCTCTCTCTCTCTCTCTCTCTCTCTCTCTCTCTCTCAACAATTATTTTTCACTCACATTTTGTGTACTGAACCCGGTTTTAACTAAAATGCAAAACACGTGTTGTAAAGGAACCGGAGTTTGAATTCATTATTTGCTTGTTTTGATGTGAATTCAGTTTAAATTTATTTATTAATAAAATGTTTTCAATCAAGAAATTAAAGAGTGATTTAAATGCAATGAAGAGTTTGTGTGAAATAATAGACAAAATTCAGTGTATTTTGAATACAAATAATAGTGTTTTGTGTGAAGCGATTGAATGCGAAAATAATGATTATTTTTCAATCAATCAAACAATTAATTGCAATTCATGTAAAATCAGTGATAAAATGCTAAACAATTGTCATATCATTACTAAANGCAATTCATGTAAAATCAGTGATAAAATGCTAAACAATTGTCATATCATTACTAAATCTGATGATTATTTTCACTGTTTTTGGCCTAAATGTCAGTACAAAACACTAAACTCGAAGTTATTAAATTCACATCAAGTATGTCATTCAAAGTTAAAACAATTTAAATGTGATTTTAATAATTGTAATAAAAGTTATAAATGGAAAACGCAATTATATCAACACAAAAAAACTTTTCATTTAAATGTGACATTTATTTGTGATTTCAATGAATGCCACAAAAGTTTTGCACAAAAATCGCAATTACTTCGACACAAAAGTTGTGTTCATTTGAAAGAAAGGAATTTCAAATGTAATGAAGAAAATTGTGGCAAAAGATTCAATCGAGAATCACATCTCATTCGACACAAAAGCATACATTCGGGAGAAAAACCATTTGTTTGTCATTTCAATGATTGTAACAAAACATTCTCTGAAAAATCTAACCTCAGAGTACATATGAAAAGACATCTGAATATAAAACTTCATAAATGTATTCATAATAACTGTAATCAACGGTTTGTTACAAAACATGAGTTGCGAGCACATGTTCAACGAAATCATAAAAATTAAAATTTTTAAATATTAAATTCAAATTATATTTTAAAATCATGTTTAGTTTATCAATTCAAATATTCTTTTTATCCTTCATATATCATGTACATTATATGTCTTTAACTGCATAATTTATACCAATTAAATTATGAACTTATCTAAATTAAATATTAAATATAAGGTTAAACACATACTCCATAAGTATAGACACGTCCCGGTGACGGATCGACCATTTCGTACGTCTCCTGTAGTCTCTCTATTGGGTGCTAAACGTAAAGTAAGTCTGAGCCATCACTGGTTATATTAGTGATCACCGATGAGCCCAACCGGTCGACACCCCTATGGGGGCTGACCGTACGGTTCAGCCACCGGCCCAGTCGACTGCCCGTCTCATCGGCACCGCAAACGTTTAACAGATTGCCAGATACCAGTGCCGGCTGTGTTAGGATAGAGGTATAGGTGTGTCCAGTAATGATTAGGTATGTCCTTGGTTATCGTGTCCGGACATTTTTAACCTTGTTACTCTGGTTATTTGTGTTTTTTAAATAATAATTTTAAAGTTTTGCTAAAAATAACAATGTGATCAAAAATAATTTTAAGTTCACAATTAAAATCAATTGTAAAGTTTCACGGTGTGTTTCACAAATTATCATGATCAAACATATATCGGCTGTTATTATCATAATCTGAATATTAAAACCTGTTTGAAACGACACTATTAACTTAGAGACAATATTGTCTAAAATCTGTATACAGTATACTGTTTGACCTCTTTCAATAATGGCACCTTTAAACGCATTAGCTTGTTGGCCAGATCAGGCACCTAGGTCAGGTCTATGCCCACATTTAATGGATTGTTACGGCACTTACTCTCCGTGAATTCTATACTCCTTCCCCCGTTGTTAGCAATGGTTTGGATGCAATAATTTAAAACATAGTGCGTTTGCAAAGTTCAGTTTCATCACACTCTCCCCTCAATTGCAAACGTAATATGTGAATAATTCCTAATTAGATTGCAGTAATCTCTCTCTCTCTCTCTCTCTACTGATGATTATTTTCACTGTTTTTGGCCTAAATGTCAATTCAAGACAAATATAAAAAGGGATTTAAATATACATCAATTAATTCATTCAGAAATAAAAGGTTTTAAATGTGATTTTAATAATTGTAATAAAACTTATAAACAAAGTGGACATTTATTCAATCATAAAAATAGCGTTCATCTAAATGTGAGATTTATTTGTGATTTCAATGAATGCCACAAAAGTTTTTCTGACAAAAGAAATTTATTTCGACACAAAAGTTGTGTTCATTTGAATGAAAGAAAATTGAAATGTAATGAAGAAAATTGTGGCAAAAGTTTTAATCGAAAAGATGAGTTAAATCGACATAAAAGCATACATTCGGGAGAAAAACCATTTGTTTGTCATTTCAATGATTGTAACAAAACATTTTCTGAAAAATCTAACCTTAAAGTACATATGAAAAGACATCTGACGATATAAAATATAATATAAAAAGCCATAAATGTATTCATAATAAGTTATTATTATTTATAACTGTAATCAACGCTTTATCACAAAATATCATTTAAAGAAACAGATGAATAGAATTCATATACAAAAATAATTTGTAAAATCAGAGCATTTTTGGCAAATATTTAATAAAACAATTTTCAAATTAAACAATATTTCTTATAATTTATTTATTATATGCATTTTTCAAAATAGCAATTAAATATTGACTCTAATCGGCCATGTTCAATTGGGGTATAACTAATATCATAAGCCGCGTCCCATAAACTAAATTGCAGCTTAAATTTGTAATAATTTAAATAAGTATTTTAAAAGTGCATAAATCCTATTTTCAGTAATAATCCCCTAAATTAAATTATATAATATACCAATATATACAACAGTTTACTCACAAGTGATAAATCAAATTGATTTAATGCTTATTTCAAAAAAGCATCAAAACATAACAACATGGATGAAACCCACATCAAAATTGGCAACACATGAGCTCATCATCCAATGACCGGTTCGTTTGGCTCAACCTCTCGACAAACCGGCGCACAGGCTGTACATCGAGACCAGTATTAGCCGCGCCGGCAGTCCGGGCGCACTCTAACAAGGCGTTCAAAATGATGATCATTTGCTGGACATCCGTACGGATGAGCGCCAAAAACTCGGCGTCCGTCACATCCCTACCGGACCAGTGGTCGCGACACAGACTACGGCCAAAGTCTGTCCATTTTGCCGTCAAATTGGCACCGGTTTGACCGTTAGAGCTGAACACCAGTACATTACCCGAGTGGGCGTCCCCGTGAGTGATACCCTTTCCGTGTATGTATGCCATACCTGTGCCACACAAATACAATCGTAACCAAAAACAAAACACGTGATAAATTAAATAATATTATTCAATGTTATACTACTGTATAAGTAAAATATTTTGGGCATAGATTGTTTACACACATACCTGAACACAGTTGGCGTATAAAACTCACAGCTTGTATGTCATTGATTTTGCTATTACTTACCATATTGGCCAAAGTACCACGGTCGCCCAGCTCCATGATCAGAAACATGCGTTCGTAGCTCCGGAACTGATCACCATGGTGCTGCTGCTGATGATGATCTTGATGGCGTACCACCCGATGCGATTGGCCCAGATTAATTGCCATCCTAAAGGCAACAATGTTTGGGTGATTGGCCAGTCGTTTCATACACTGTTTCTCAATCTCGTGGTATATGCGGGGCATTAGGGTCTCGGCACCGGCGCCGCCAAACTGGACATATTTGGCCGCAAATTGTGTCCGATCGGGCACTATATCGTAGCCCAGGTACTGGCGCTCGCGCTCAGCCAGGTTTATAATCTGTGTTAAAAGCGATTAAATTCTTAACTCAACTAATTTTAACGTATAATATAAGGTTAAACACATACCCCATAAGTATAGACACCCGAATACACAGCGCCGTAGTTCCCGGTGCCGATCGCCCGGCGCTTTCCATACCTCACGTCAAAGCCTTTAGTCCGCAATTTCTTCAAATCCCTAATGGTTTTGCGGCCCAACCGGTCGACACCCCTCTGGGGGCCTACCGTACGGTTCAGCCACCGGCCCAGTCGACTGCCCGTCTCATCGGCACTGCTCACGTTCAACACACCGCTCGACATCATCACCGGCTGTCCTCCCGGTGACGGATCAGCCATTTCGTACGCTTCCTGTAGTCTCTCTATCGGGTGGGAAACGAGCTGTAAGTCTGAGCCACCACTGGTTATATTAGTGGCAACCGACGCGCCGTATCGGTCACTGGGAGCCCACGCACCCGACCCATCATCGCTGTCATCGCTATCGTCGGACACGTATGTCGATAGGGTGTGCGCGCCGGGAGTGACAGCTCGCGATGGCACCGGTGGTGGTGTCCGTACGA